CCCCCCCCTCCCCACGTATCTTGCACAAGAGAGCAACACTTCCACCATTGACAACCATTAACAAGCTTTGAAGCTTTGAATTCGAATTTGGGTTTTCAAAAAATACTGTCTGTTTGGATTGGATGTTGTTGCAAAGAATTGATAATTCTCTCTACGTCTCTCTCTATCTCTCAATCCCAAATTTTAGTAATGTAAAGCAAAGGAAAAGAGAGCAGCAATTCCACCATTGACAGACATTAAAAAGTTTTGAAGCTTCGAATTCGAATTTGGGTTTTCAAAAATCATTATTTGTTTGGATTGTGCGTTGTTGCAAATAATTAGGAATATGATTTGGAGTTTATATCTCAATTTTGAGGGGTTTTGGTGAAGATTAGACTTGGTTTTGGCTGAATTTCAGATTGAAACTCGAAGAAGAAGAAGAAGAAGAAGAAGACATGACATAGATGCAGAAATTGTATTAAAATTATAACACAATTGTATTCTGTTGTTTATATATTTTTCTTTTATTTATTTAACTATTGTATGAAAGTTGAACAACATTGTATAAAAATTATATTTAAGTTGTATGATATTGTAGTTGTATATAACTGAGTAGAAATAATGTTATGAAAATTGTAGATAAGTTGTATAACATATAATTAGTTGTATGAAATTTTATTTTACTATGTATAAATTTAGATACAAAATATACAAAAGACATATTGTATAAAATTTGTACTTAAGTTGTATGTTATTGTAGTTGTATTTAACTGGGTAGAAATAACGTGTGAAAGTTATAGATAAGTTGTATAATATATAATTAGTTATATGAAATTTATTTTTACTACGTATAAATTAGATATAAAATATACAAAAAACATATTGTTGCATTTGTCTTCCTTTTTACCTGCATTTAACTACTTTAACCAAACTTAATTATACTAGTGTCTGTAAATAGAAAAAAGAATGCGAGTAGAAATTGAAAAAAACCACAGTCAGAAATGAGTAAAATAATTATAGTTTCCAGATATCATGAATAATGTACATAGAACTATCACATCTATAAAAGAATTAAAGTTTCCACTTTGAATGATATCCTAGCAGATCTTTTGACATTGGAGGATAAGATTGAAGTGCAAAACTAATTTGTCGTCCAGTAATCTAGAGGACTGTAAGAATTTGTTTCATATTCATCAGTTTCCTATAAAAAGAAGAGCATGGTCTGGAGGGTTGTATTGTAGGAATTCGAGAAAATGAATGAGAAAGACAGAATCCGGAGAGAATAAGGGAGAGAGGAGAAAAAAAAAAGGAAAAAGGTGTAACTAAATCCCTTAATTGAAGGCACTAATAATGGATTGGGAGCCTTTTAAGGCGGAATATATATATTTTATAAACAAAACTTGTGTAGGTAGGGTAATTTACTAAACATGAATATTTAGGGTAATAAAGTTTCCAATAGTGTATAGGAATGAAAAAATTCCTAAACAAAATTGACAAGTTCTCCGTCGAGGTTGGATAATCTTAGTAGCTCAGTTGGTTGACTATCCGAATTTTCACCTTGTTGATGATAGTTTGATTCCCCACCTTGTAACCCCACCCCCCCTCTCTCCGTTTTTCCTTCCCCTGAACCCTATTAAAGAAAATCCGTTTAGGTCTGTCCAAAGTCGTAGATCGCTAGTGATACAATGAGGGAAATAGAGCGATTGAAATGATGCATTTTAATGCGAAATAATGCTTATTTTCATGGTTAATTACTCAACCTAACAACACTTTCCAATAACTATTTTCTGCCTGAATCTTGTCGCACCCCACCTTCTTAAAGGATATTTAAGGGTCATGCAATAAATTCACTACGCCTCAGTCCAAACTAGTTAAATTTAACTGAATGAATTATTAATACTATTAGACTTATTGTTTAAAAAATTCATGGCATTTGATAAAGTTTGACTGATGACAGAATTTCACCACATTGATGAACTGCAAAACGGATCCTATGCAGTATGCAGCCTTGGAATCAACCAAACTCCGTCAATACTTACTGAAGATACAAATGGCCAAAATTTGCACAGACTACAGGAAGGGGCCGAGGGGAGGGGGAAAGGAGGGTCTTAGCCACATATGAAATGGCAAAAACCCCTGAACATTACTCAACTAGAAAACATTAGTATGAGCTTGCATATAATTTAACAAGATCATCGATGTGTTAGCTTTACATATCAAAACTCCCAAATTGGATTTCAAATTTGTCAGCGTATAACATGTCTTGCTAGAAACATTCAGGTCAGCCGCATTTCCAAAATCGCTCCTTCAATCTGTAGAAACCAATGAAGAATAACAATAAGATCAAGGAGAACATAAAATGTTGCAATAAGATCAAATGAGAATACTAGTCAACATACAGTTTGCAGATACTTCACGGCAGCTTATGGTTAAATTTCAGTTCCTCTGTCGATTACTAATCTAATGTTGGAATAGAAATGCAAAAATCTGAAGCAATGATTAAATTTATAATAAAAAAAAAAAGCCAACATGTTTTTAAGAGGGAACTACTAAACGACTAACAAGGGACTCAACCAAAAATTGGGCAAAAAAGAATCTGACACTGTTACAAAGGTCCAAAAAGAAGCTATACCAAATGCTGTAGGTACGGTAGTATGAAACTAATACAACGTGCACAGAAAACTAAGATGACCATCGAGAACTCTTAATCTTCAAATAATTTTCAAAATGACGGATGAAAGCTAGAGCAATAAACTGCTGACCCNGTGACATTGTGGGTTCAGATCAGATGCAAGAAAAGGTTCATTTGGACACACTCAAATGTAACCACCCAACCAACCAAACTAAAGGAAAAGAAACCAACATTTGAGACCCTTTGCTTATGACTACATTAATCAGGACCCAGCATCTGAGTACTAGGAACACCTCATTTGCAAGATCACTAGCAAGGAGAGAAGGAAGGGTTTCAAAGCATAAATCAAGCTAAAAAGACGCAATCAGCCAAGCTAATTTGAAAAAGCATTCTAAAAGCCAATAAGATACCAGAAGAAGTTTACTCACATCTACGATATATGTTACTATGTCCACCATAAGGACCGCGCTCCTGAGACTGCAAGCCAAACAGAAACAACAATAAGAAACTCTATTCTGAGCTACAGCTCAGAAAATGTCAGTTTCTAACATTTCGATCTTGCTTTAATGTTGAAAAGAAAGAGAAATGTCTATAAATATAACTTAGATAGCAGAAAAAGAACAAGGCTGGAAGGTCTTGATTAAAACAATTTGATAAGAATGTACACAAAGGTATACTTTATCAATTACATTTAGAAACTTTTGTTCTTTAGCAACAGAGCTCAATGGCTAGAGCTTTTCATCCTTCCCAAAATAGAATCAAGATATTTTGAACTTCTTTAGACACAGGCAAGATTCAACAGGTATCATCAACACCTTTGGACATTGAACAAAATGGAGTTACAAGGTTTGGAACGTCCATTTACATGCCATTTCTTTCTTTTTCCTTTTCTGGAGAGCTTAAATATGGCCTACTGTTCATACTTTCATAAAAAGAAGGGGGCTGAGAGATCACAAGTAATGTACCTGAATCTCACACTTATGATTTTTGAAGCCATATCAGGTTTATAAAGGAACATGTCAAAAAGCACAATTTTTCCTGTCAATGATGTTCCTGGTCTGGAGGAGCTATCTGATATAATGTGTTGTAGTGTGGGATCCTTCCCCACTACATATCTAGGCCTACCATTGGGAGCATCATACAAATCACAATGAATCTGGAGTGGGGTTATTGAGAAGTTTGAGAAAAGATTGGCCTCCAGGAAAATGCAGTACCTCTCTATGGGGGGTAGATTAACGCTTATTAATAGTGTGTTGGATAGTATTCCTACTTACTTCATGTCATTATTCCCAATTCCAGTTAAAGTGAAGAAGAGGCTAGATCAAATTAGAAGAAACTTCTTATGGGAAGGCAACAGTCAAAGCCACAAATTTCATTTGGTTAAATGGCCAAAGGTTATTTTACCAAAAGGAGCATGGAGGATTGGGTGTTAAAGATTTGGCATTACATAATAAGAGTATGCTAATAAAATGGCATTGGAGGTATAATTTGGAGGACCCTGGTTTGTGGAAATCAGTGATTAATGCTAAACATGGTGTGAGGAACAACTGGTGCACAAGACATAGCAGATCACCTCATGGTACAGGCCTATGGAAACACATATCCAGTTTATGGGACGAGTTCCAACTTAACTCAAAACTCAAGTTAGGAAGTGGAACACTCATCAAGTTTTGGAAAGACAAGTGGCTGGGAACAATGGCATTAAAAGATGAATTTCCAAATTTGTACCTACTGGCAGTAGATCAAGAATCCACTGTAGAACAATGTTGGCAGAACAGCTCTTGGGACCCTCAATTCAGGAGACATTTTCAAGATTGGGAGATAAATGACCTAATGGAATTGCTGGCCAAACTAGCACAGATTGCTGTCAAACCCCAGCTGAAGGACAAACTGGAATGGGGGGACGGGAAATTTACAGTGAAGAAAGTATATGCACACCTATGCTCCAACAATGATCTGATAAACAATTGGCCATGGAAACTAATTTGGGGAACAAAACTGCCTCGTAAAGTGATTTGTTTCAGTTGGGTTGCCTTAAATGAAGCATGCCTCACTCAAGACAACCTCAGCAGAAGGAGTATACCAATGGTGAATAGGTGCTACATGTGCAATTTGGATTCTGAAAGTGTTAGACATCTCTTTTTGCATTGTCCTTTAGCATGTGATATTTGGAACATGTTCCTCTCTATTTTTGGACTAGCCTGGGTCAAGCCTAACAGCATCAAGGAAGCATATGAATGTTGGTGTTCATGGAGAGTTGGTAAATCCATCAAAAAAATTTGGGTAATGGTACCTGCTGCTATCTTTTGGTGCATCTGGAATGAAAGGAACCGTAGATGTTTTGATGGGATCTCAACTCCGATCCATGTAGTCAAAGCAAAATGCTTATTGAATTTGTTTAGTTGGCTAAATCAGGCACCTGTAACTAGTTCTGTTCAATTTTTTGATTGTGTCTGCTCCTTAGTGATAGAATAGGTTTTTTGTGTATACGAGCAGACATCATCTCTCTTAATTGTAATCTTTTGCTTGCATCCGCTGGATGCTTTTAATGAATTCTCCTTACTTCATCAAAAAAAAAAAAAGAAGATGCATCCCCCAAAATTGCATGTATTCTACAAAAGATTTGCTTTCGCAACAGAGAGGTATACTACTATCCACATGCAGAATCAAGCAACAAATCTTTAAAAAAAGGTGCAGTTTGCAGGCCATTAAATTGAAAAATATGCAATATACAACAATTAGCAAAAATTGGAGCGCTATTTGATTCGAACTATAGAGAAAGGCCCAATTAGACCAAGGATCAGTAGAAGGATAAAATCTCAATAGAACGAGGTTCAGTTCAAATCGGGTGCTCAAGATGATGAATGCCTCAAGAGAGATAGAAGAAAGAAGATCTGTCTCGATTCTATCTCTATCTTTCGACATCTCATCTCTATAATAGAGACAATAATGGGTGGAGAATCCTTGTGTATTCTACTGGTATAGAATCTTTGTGGAGGGCGGTAAGCACAAGTTTGTAAGAGTGCCACGTGTATATACTATATAATAGAAATGGAATGGGAAATAGCTTGGGAATTCCAATGAACAACTGAAAGCTTGCCATGCAAAACTGTGAACAGTAACAAACACCACAGATCATTAATCTCTATACCTGAAAAGAACTCGGAAAGCTTCCGACTCCATAAACTGAACCTGCCAAGACACATTAAGGAGACAACTTAAACACTAAGACATACTCAAAGAGCAAAAACTATTGAGTCAAAAATTATGTCAAGAACCAGGTAATTGCAGTATTAACCCACCTGGTGACTGGCCACTGCCTAGCTGGCGATAATAGGCAAAAGATGGTGTAGCAAGGGGTCCACGGCTATGTGATAACATACTGAATGAAAGAAAGCACAAAGTCATAAATTACTGAGGTAAAGTATCTCCAAGACACTATCCTAGTTTAAAAAGACGTCCACTAGCAAAGATAATGATATGAACCTTTGGCTTGCAGTTGGAAAAGAGCTTTCTAACCGCAATCGAGAAACTCCAACGGAATCCATACGATGTGGATTATCTACCTGCATAGGCAGAAAGAGGGTGCCTCAAGGATAAGTCTAGGTGTAGACAAGAAGCTAGGAACATAAAATGAAAAAGCAGTATAAATGCAACCAATTTGCAACTTACTACAGCTGAAAGTGGCCGCTTGCTTCGAGATAACAAATACCGATGGTCAATGCCTGAGCCTTCTCGGACAAGGACAATAAAAGACAAACATCAATTATATTCAACAGGAAAAGGGGGAATGTTTGCAATCAATTTGCAACTTACTACAGCTGGGAATATTTGCAATCAATAAACATTAAACATAAAACACATCCTCTAAAAGATGAAAAGAACAGAATTATAAAAAGATAAATACATCCTCTATCTTTTTTTTTTCCTTTACAAGGTAACAGTACGCCCAAACTCCCCTACCCATGACTGCAACAATCTTTTCATAGTTTGATACTCGAACTCCCAACCTCTAGGTTGAAAGTGGACTGCTCTTGCCACACTGGAGCATGCTCACGTGTCTAAATTCTCCATCTTGTTACTTAATATTTATCTAGATTCTCCTTCACCCTCATCCATTCGTCTTTCTGTTTGTCTCAAGCATACTCAACACAAGAATTATATTTTTCCTTTAATAGGGGAAAAAAAGTACCAATAATTGCAGAGGGCATTGTGCTATGAGATTAGCATAGGAAGACCAGTCCAGCCAATTGTCCGGATCGAGAAGATTAAGACTGTCCAAGCACCAGGTTTGGCTCTAAGCTTTCTATTATTTTGAATATACATGTTATTTACCTTTTCAAAAGAAAAAAAACACAGATGAATGGAATCTAATCCCAGCACCAATAAAAGACCGAGATAAAAGGACACTTTGTTACCAATACAAGCATTAGAAGTGCAATCACGATTGCCATTTTCTACCTAATACTATCAGTTAACATTTTGTTTACATCATTCATCATTTCCGGTTCTTAGGAGTTCACTTACATTGACTACACTCCCCCCCCCCCCCTCTTTCCTTGCTTTCTCCAGCTCGTTCCTCATGGCAATCATGATGGAAGCTAAACTCTCCCATCAGACATTATCGTGCTACTTGCTTCATTTGATCTGGTGCAAAGGCAGCAGCTAGACTATTTTAATTTCAGGTGATAAAATCTCTGCAGACCATCCCTAAAGCCTGACAAGGCACCAATCTTGTCTCGTGCATCCTCTCACAAACACGGATTCAAATGGCTACGTCCCTCTACTAGGCACTAGATGGTACTTCCAACATCCTGCTTTCTTTCTTTCTTGCTTTAATTTTTTCTTTGAAAAATAAAACAGGGCTCCAAAGTCTTCCTTTTAACACCCAAGGGTGCAGCCTAATGGTAAGTGAGTGAAACCATGAGATATCAGCACTCAAATTCCAGCAGAGACAAAAAAAGTTATGCTATTTCCCTTAGGGGCCTCTATTTAGGAGCAAAACCTGGTGCATTAGATGTCTTGGCAGTTGCACTAAGGTACAACATGGTCCCTTGCAGATGACATTCCGCATTTCATGCCCTTCGGACCATATTAAACATAAGGAGTTGAATAAAACGGAATAAACAACACAAAGTGCATCTGCATTAAGTTCTATTCACATAGGCATTGTGCTACCCTAACACGCCATTCTACTCTAAGTAACTATCTACTTAATTATCAAAATGCCAATGAGTTTTGGGAGGATATTATAGAAAAACAAGTGCATTACACAAGCAGAACATTTGAAATGGAAAGCTAAGTCAACCAATTGTGTCTAATGACGTGAGGAAAAGAAAATATTGTAGAATTGAAAAGTAAAGTATTAAACCTGAATGGATCTGACCAGCTGGCGCTTGTTGTCTCAAGAGGTGCAGAAGTTCATTGGTTGCAGAAGATCCTCTATTGACTCTATGATCCTCAGTATATCTTCTCATGTAATTTACCTTTTTGTTGGGTTCATTCCTCTTCGAGATAGCTATAACCGCAAGAAAGAAATTAATCATTAGAGACAAGAACTCACTGCTGCTATCAAGTGCAATTGTTTAACTCCATAGATTTTGTGAAGTGTACATTGGGCCTAACTCAACCCAAAAACTAGCTCATGAGGTGAGTATTGCCAATATTCGTATGAGGAGATCACAACCCATTTCCTCAACTAATGTGGGACTTAACACACCCCTCCTTTACCCGCACAACATGTCCCAACATTGAGAAACACAACATCAGGGATCGGTGGGTCTAGCTCTAATATCATGTCAAGAAATGAACATTGTGCCTAATTCAACTTATGAGCTAACTTTTGGGTTTGAGTTAGTTCATTTCTTCACAATGTTAAACATATTCTCTGTTTCATTTTACGTGATGGTGTGTCTGAGTGCACATGGATTTTAAGTAAGATGCCGATTGGACTTTTATAATATATTAGTGAATGGAAGAGAAAATTGAAGTAGTGGTTGAAAAGAGGCAAACATCATATTAAAGTTAAAGTGTGAATATTTAAATGAATTTCGAATCTTAAAAGTTGTGAAAGTTGTAGAGAAATGTAATGGTGTCAAACATTTTGGAGCGTCCTAAAATGAAAAGAGAGTCATATCATTTTGGTCCCCTGTGATTGTAGAGCGAACTAAGTTTTTGCTATATACATATTTCTGCACAATCTTAGTGTTGTTATTATGAAGAATATGATCTTTACTTATATAAAAAATATGCAACTTGTACATATGAAAAGGTTTAGAATGCCAGTAATTATTTTAGGTGGGAGAATGAGCAAGGTATGTTCCTTATCTGGCTTGTACATCATCGAAATTCCAACATACTTGAGAGGATAATCAAGCAATTCATTCCCCAAAGATCTCTTTGATCTATATTCTTTACAGAAATAAGGGTCATCAAGGTTTTAAGGCAAAAAGCACACAGATAATCACATCAAACTGTCATCAGATTGATAAATATAAGGGTTTCAAGACACTCACATGGGTCCTGTATTATCTTCACCTCACGAGGTTCCCTTTTAGTAGGAACAGTTGCACGTTTAGTTTGCTTGTTCTTAGGGACGGGTTTGGCAAGAGATACCTTCAAGTTTACCTAAAATTTAATCAACATTAAAATAATCATGAGCAAAGCAATTTTCTCAATAACTTAGCAGCTGATTACTCTAATGCTGAAACCTTGGATCCACTTTCGTTGACTGGTTCGTGACTGAATGCCTCAATGCACGCTAGAGCAGACTCACGGCTTATATAATTGACGAAGGCAAAATCTTTTCTTCTTGAGGAAGCAAGATCTTTTGCAAGAACAACACTCTCAATTTCACCAAATTTGACAAAGTAGTCCCGCACTTTCTCTTCATTCCATGTGGAAGGTAAATATTCAGCATAAACTGATTTAACCTTGACAAAAGCAAAACACTTTCAATCTAAGTATTTTAATCAAATTTAAAAAGTACATTTTAGATAGAGATAGTTAATCTGCTATGAAAGGAAAAGATAAAGAACAAAATAGAACAAATTGAGGCTTCTCTCTGGCACCACTTGGCATTTATTTCAGGTAAACAAGTTGATAAGCATCAATATATTAATTCCAAACGTTTCCAAACTGACCTTTAGCATTTCTTCTTCATTTGGCTCAACTAAAGGCTGCGCCCATGCAACTTTTACATTCATGTTTTTCCCAAAAACATCCTTCTTCTGGAGCTTATTGAAAGCAATCTTAGCTTCTTTATTTGTTTCAAGTTCAACAAATGCAAACCCTCGATTCTGCTCAATGTTATTAGGATTAGCCATAACTGTAACCTTATCGATATTTTCAATTCCAGCCTTCTTCAGTAGATCAATTACCTGTCAAGAGATAAACTCTTTAGAAGTCACTTTAACCCAGAGGAATTACAAAGATCAGCAGCGAACAGTAGAGCTTACGTCTTCAGTCTTCCATTTCCTGTCAATATTGCCTAGGTATATTGTGTCATTACCCTCAACAAGGGATACACTACATTGCTTTCCAGATATCTAGGTTTCAAGATCAAACAAATATGTTAGTCCATTGCACACAACAGCTTAGGCCTAAGTGCAGAAACTGCAATTATCTTCTCAACAGGACAGCACAAGTAAACTTAGCTAAAAGATATTATTCTCTATGCCGTAATTTTGGGTGGAAACTGAAAATTGCATGAACCAAGAATCACAAGAATCGACATCCAGACAGTATGATTTTACCTCAAACCATAGTACTTATGACTAGTACAATTACACAAAGCAAATCTTAAGAATTGGTAGCCACGTCTACTTATCAACCAGAAAAAAGGTATCTGTAACCAATATCCATATAAAGCTTGGTATCCAAAAATAAGTTTTAACTGAACCACTTTCCAAAATGTAGCACCTATCTCTAACCTGTATTAGGGTACACAAATTTACTAGATAAGCTTCCAGCAATCTATTTTTTGGGATAAATATAGATAAGCTTCCAGCATATAAATCTTAAATCATCTAGATTCCTGTAGATAGACTTATATCATACCATCGCACTCTAAAGAGAACAAAATAAGAAATGTTTGAAAAGATCAAGCCAGTATAGCATAACTGGTACGATCGGCGATCGCATAGAAAGAACAGAGAATGAACTCCCAAATTGACATTATTTAAAGCATTATACTGAATATTATAGAAATCATTGGTGCTATACTGCTATTTCTGACTGGTAGTAACATTAGGTGGATGTATGATATGACAAAAATCTGACCATCGTACTCTGCCAAAAGAAAACAACAGCATGCAGCTAAGAATAAAAGTCATGTGCTTGCATTGTGAATCGATCAAACTAAAAGCAAATCCATAGTCATAACTACCATTAGCCACAATGAAAAGTAAGTTAAATATTCCATGTTTTAATGTTAATCTTTATCAGAGGATCCAGATCAACATGATAGATATAATAGATCATAAGATCGTCAAATTCATCAGAGCCCTATTGACGTTTTCAACAAGTTCCCTTTATATACAAGCATGGCCCACCAATATTGACATTACTATAAATCGCTCCAAGTCCTTCCAGGGAAAAAAAAGGCAACTATTGCTGCTTGGAAATAACGTTTTCGTAGGTTAAAGTTGGTGTGCTAAGATCCTGATCTAAAAGCTTACACAGTTCGAGATAAGACATTTTTACTTATTCATTTTAGTTTTGCAAGACACCCTCTAAATTGCTACCTATTTTTTTTTACCAAACACATAAAGAATTTTGGGGATGATTGACGGTAAAACAAAAATCCAAAACTTTTCCTATCATGTTGGATAGTATGAGGCGCCTCATATAAAATACTTAGCTATTAGATTGTAGCCACTTTTATCTATTCATTTGAGGCTTATGACAAAGGATACTTCAAACCACGAGAATTAGCTTTGTTATCAAATTGCAAAATGAGAAATGTTGAAAATATGGGAAGATAAGGCTGAACAGTTGAAACCTGAAAGGTTAGCAGGCAGTCTCTATAATTAATCTTTCTGGAAAAATCAAACTGATTTTGTAAAATGGTTTGGATATAACAGCTAATCATTCTTTTGATAACCCATAACAGCTAATTGTTTATGAGAGTGAAAGAGGGAACACCAAAATATTCTACTCTCTTCATAAAGGATGACAGTAAAATCACATGCTTGCATTTTAAAATTTCTTTGCTATATACATAACATTATGAGAAGCCAAATTTATTTAGAATTAGTTTAATTAATAAGCTTGAAACTTTTGTAGGATCCAGGAAATTGATAGTTTGGTCGAAAAATCCATACGAATCTTGTCACACATATAGATTTAATAGCTTTATGTGTAGACAAAACAGCCACAACCGCACTACTTAAACGAACTTTTGCTCTAATTAGAAGACTACGCATAGTAATTCCAAAACGCATTACCTCAACTTTGGAATATCTTTCTACAGCCTTCTTTGCATCAGCCGCGGAAGCAAACCGCACGAACGCAAACCCCTTGTTCTTCCCTGTTTCACGATTTGTCACCACTATTACATCCACAACCTCACCAACCTCCTCAAAGATTCTCCTAATATCACCCTCCTTTGTCTCCTTGTCTAATCCTCCAATGAAAATCTCTGTCCTCCGCCTCTTCTTCCGCTCTAATGCCTCCAATTCCCCACTCAATACTATTCCTTGGTTCAACCTCAGACTAGTATCTGCAGCTTCCATTGTTTCATCCCTGCTCTGACTGTTTTCTACCAAATTTTGATCCTTACATGAGTCCAAATTGTCACTAGTAGAAACATTAAGATTACCTGCTTCTGAATCAAGAAGTGCAGCTTGAGAAACTGTATCAGCAGTCTCGACAAAAGTAGTTTCTTTAAATTCCAAAACTAGAGGCTCTAATGTATTTTGGGTTGCACTCACATTAGTAGCTTTCTCAACTTCCATAGGATGTGGATTGTATTTCATTGACAGCTCGCCATTAGCTGATACAGCCTTACAAGACTCCAGATTTTCAGTTTCTGGAGGACTAACAGTAGATTTAAGTTTGGGGACTTTCTTCTTTACAATCTTCTTGACAATCTTTTTAACTGGACGAAGGTTACCTTTTTCTGAATGAAGAACTACGTTTCCTGTCTCAAGAGAACCTATATTACCCTTTGCATCCGAAATGGGAAGCTCTAATTCATGTTTAGATACACTAACCTCACAATCCTTCATTCCATCGTTTCCTAAGATATCTTCAGCCGCAACGATAGTACCTTTCTCAACTTCTACTGGATAATGATCGCCTTTTTTTGGGTCGCCAACCTCACCAACTGTAGCAACAGTAGTAGGCTCTAAAATTTCAGTTTCTGATTCAATAATGCCTGAAGAGGTGACCAATGAATCCGAAACAGTTTCTCTGTCACTATTTTCCCCACCTTTGACTGATTCCTTGTTCTTCGATTTGGGGACTTTTTTCTTAACAATCTTCTTGACAATCCTTACAGTCTTTTTCACCACTTTTTTCTTACCAACTCCTACTTTCTGCTCTCCAGCAGCTTCAATTTCCAGTTTCTTATCCTCCGGCGAGCTCAACAAGGTTTCCGCGGTGGTTTCCCCAATATTCATAACCGTGTTTGTTGTTTCAGGAACTTGGGAGATCAGGGATTGCTCACTGATGCCTTTAGAATTGGTAGAGTTGGGAGACAATTCATCGGAGAGAGTGGTGATGACGTCAGCGGCATCGGCGGTGGTGGTGGATGGTGAGGGAGTGGGGGAACCGGTGGATTTGGTTACTTTAGGAATGGATTTTCTGGCGGTCATTATGGTTTTGCGGCGCCACCGCGGCACCGACGCAGCTTTCGGCGGCATTGAGCGGCAGGGGAAAAGACAAGTCACTTGTTTTTTGCAAGTCGAAAAGGTCGCCTGAAGAGGAAACTGGAAATCTTAAAAAGTGCGCCTGAAGGAGAAATTCCGAAAAGGAGCTAGGAATGCCAGGGAGTTGAGGTGAGTAAAAGGGCTCACTTTCCCTGCCAAAGTTGAGGAAAAAATTGGCAAATAGCCACTTTTAGCCATATTATAGTTAGAGTCCGAAACCTAAATGCCAAACTTTTTGGATTCAATATACGTTTCTACTCTTAAAAAATACTTTTTTATATATAATACGGTATTATATCGCGATATACTTTAACGATGTTTCTACTATTAAAGTATGGCACAGTGTAATACCACATTATATATAGCGTGGTGTAATACTGCACTATAACTGTTTGTGGGCCCACCAATTAGTCCCATGCATTTAACTAACATAACTATAATTCAAATATATATAGCGCGGTATTACACCGAGATGTACCTGTTTGTGGACCCACCAATAAGGTGTTAGTAATCTGTATTTGTAAAACAATTCTAGAGAAAATAAAATAACTTAAACAGAAATGTAAACGAAATAAAAAAAAACAATTCGAGCCCACTGAATTCACAGTGTTTCCTTAAGGAATTTAATCCCCTCCTAGTATCCAAGCTATGGATTATTTCCTCCCAGAATAGAACGAATTACACACTGGTGTAGTGGTACTTCAAACCCCAGTGTTTCAGCAAACACAAAGTTCGGTAGCAAATCACACTTACTGTTGCTTTCTTTGAAGTTAAAATATGCAGAAGAAAGGAGAAGAATTCAGAAAAATCGTATGGAAAATCTGAGAGAATGGACTTTTATTTATAGCCAAAGTTAGGCTGAAATCTGAAGAGGTGCAACTCTTCAGAATGGTTGTTTTTGCAAAACGGCCAAAGAATAAATGTCATAACATAAATAGCTATTTACTCAACAATAAAGAGGGAAAATTGAAGGATAGTTAATTTTCTGTTACAAAAACATAAAACTGAAAATTGGATAACTGAATTGGATTTAATATTAATATTTATTTTAATATTAATATTTTGTTATTAAACCAAATATTTAATAACATTTCTGTTAATATTTACTATTAACAAATAAATTTGGTCAAAAAATTAATCAATCGATCGATCATTTGACCAAATCCGAAGCAGAATCTGAAGTCGAGCCGAGCCAAGCGAGCGACGATGATAATGGCGGCGCGAGACTTGCCTTCTTCTCAACTCGTTATGAGCTAGAAGAAGAGCAATTGTTTATATACCCATCAAAAACCTTTTCCTCTTCCTATATGGGACAATCAAGGAGGGAAACTCAAATATTACTCAAATATTTCATTTTTCTCTCCATTTTTCATTCACCCTATTTTAAGCATTAATAGCTTAAAACTCCAACAATCCCCCACATGAATGGGGAATGGCTATATTACGGAAGTATGCATGAAAAAATGTGTGATTCGCAAGCAAGGATTAATTGCATTTTGATAAGTAGGTTTCCCTTTGAACTTTCCTTAGTGAACTTATGTCGGATATACTCGATCAATCGGTAGATTTGATATCTTTGAAATGTCGAAATTTGGTGTATACCTAGACAACCACAAGTCACACAACCAACCCTTAACCGTCTTTGGTTCTCATTGTTGGGTTCGTTTCAGCCATGAACATCGCTCGGTTTCATAAGTGCATAGAGAACTGGCCTTGCAAAATTCTCCTTTAAGCGACTAACACTTCACACTTACATAGGTGATTCCTAAATGTGTCATCTCGTAGATACACTATTTGATATACCCCGTATCAAATTTAGAAATCATTAAAAAGCCTTAGTGTTTTATCCTTGGTACTGAACATGGTCTCATCACGGGAATGGACCAAAAGTTTAGTTGACAATGTTGAACCGTCATTAATGACTTTTTTTGATCTCCTTGAACCTAGATCTTAGGATCTCCAGTCTTCTAGGTAGAGTTACCGTCACTATGACTTGTTCTTGGCCATAGTCTCATTCCCCTTGATGATTTCTCAACTACCTCTCTAGTTAGGCTTTTTATAGGTGGATCTAACACATTATCACTTGACTTTACATAGTCAATCGTGATAATTCCTCTAGAGAGTAATTGCCTAACGATTTTATGTCTTCGTCATATATGACGAGATTTACCGTTATACATAACGCTCTCAGCCCTTCTAATTGCCGCTTGACTATCGCAATGTATGCATATTGGTGCCAACGGTTTAGGCCAAAATGGAATATCTTCCAAGAAACTTCGGAGTCATTTAGCTCCTTCACCAGTTTTATCCAAGGCTATGAACTCAACCTTCATTGTAAAGCGGGCAATACATGTTTATTTGGACGACTTCCAAGATACCGCTCCTCCACCAATAGTGAATACATATCCACTTGTGGACTTGAAATCAGTTGATCCGGTGATCCAATTTACATTACAGTATTCCTCAATGATCGCAGGATATTTACTATAGTGCAAAGCAAAGTCCTAGGTATGTACTAAATACCTCAAAACTCGTTCATGGCTATCCAATTAGATTGACCTGGATTGTTCGTATATCGACTCAATTTACTTATAGCATAATCTATATCTGGTCGTGTACAATTCATGATGTACATTAAGCAACCCAACACACGAGCATAATCCAATTGTGATATGTTTTGGCCTTTGTTCTTTGCTAATACAAGATTCACGTCAATTGGAGTCTTTGCAACTTTAAAGCCCAAGTGCTTGAATTTTTGAAGTACTGTCTTTATATAATGAGATTGTGACAATGTCAGACCTTGAGAAGTCTTATGAATCTTAATTCCTAGAATTAAATCAGCAACTTCCAAGTCTTTCATATCAAACTTGCCAGTTAACATGCGCTTAGTCGTATTTATGTTGGCAATGTCATTACTCATTATCAGCATATCATCCACATATAAACAACCAATAATTATGTGATTTGGAACATTTTTAATGTACACACATTTATCACATTCATTTAGTTTAAAACCATTTGACAACATTGTTTGATCAAATTTTGCATGCCATTGTTTGAGTGTTTGTTTTAGTCCGTAAAGGGACTTAACAAGTCTATATATCTTCTTTTCTTTACCTGGAACCACAAACCCTTCAGGTTGTTCCATGTAGACTTCTTCCTCCACTCTCCATTTAAGAAGGCCATCTTAACATCTATTTGATGAATTTCAAGACCATAAACTGCAACTAACGCTACTAACGTTCGTATGAACGTAATTCTTGTAACTGGAGAGTATGTATCGAAATAGTCAAGACCTTCTCGTTGTCTATACCCTTTGACCATAAGTCTTGCCTTAAATTTGTCATTAGTGCCATCATCTTTCATTTTCCTTTTAAAGATCCATTTAGAACCTAACGGTTTATTTCCAGGAGGAAGATCAACCAATTCTCATGTATGGTTGTTCAGTATGGATTCTATTTCACTACTGACTGCCTCTTTCCAAAATAATGGTTCCGAAGAAGACATAGCTTCTTTAAATGTTTGAGGCTCATTTTCCAATAAGAAAGTCACAAAATCTGGTCCAAATGAAGTAGACGTTCTTTGACATTTAATACATCTTGGATCCTCCTGATTAAGTGTACTTTCCTTTGTTTCTTCCGAAGGTCGTTTAGATCCTTCACCAATCGACTGACATTCCTTTTTATACGGATATATATTTTTAAAGAACTCAGCATTATCTGATTATATAACCGTATTATTATGGATGTTGGGATTTTCTGATTAATGAACTAGAAATCGATATTCTTTACTATTGGTCCCATATCCTATGAAAACACAATTAACGGTTTTCGGTCCTATTTTTACCCTTTTGGGTTTAGGAACTTGCACTTTTGCCAAACACCCCCCACACTTTAAAATAATTCAAGTTGGGCTTCCTTCCTTTCTATTTTTCATATGGAATGAATTGTGTTTTTCTATGGGGCACTCGATTTAATATTCGATTAGCCGTAAGATGGCTTCCCCCCCCCAAGTTCTGTGGCAAACCAGAACTTATCAACAATGAGTTCATCATCTCCTTTTAATGTACGATTCTTTCTTTTTGCAATCCCATTGGATTGGGGCATTTGTTTGATGAATAATTCCATATTCTAAACATGTTTCTTCAAAAGGAGATTCATATTCATCACCTCTTTCACTTCTTATCATTTTGATTTTCTTGTTAAGTTGCGTTTCAACTTCATTTTTGTATTGCTTGAATGCGTCTATTGCTTCATCTTTACTATTAAGTAAGTAAACATAGCAATATCGAGTACTATCGTCAGTAAAAGTTATGAAATATTTCTTTCCACCGCGAGATGGTATTGACTTCATGTCACAAATATATGTGTGAATTAAGTCTAAAGGATTTGAATTCCTTTCAACTGACTTATAAGGATGTTTAACATACTTAGATTCCACACATATTTGATATTTTGATTTGTCGCATTCAAACTTAGGCAATACTTTCAAATTAATTATTTTCCGCAAGGTTTTATAATTGACATGACCCAAACGTATATGTCATAATTCATTTAACTCAAGTAAGTAAGATGAAGCTGAAATTTTATTATTATTTTCAACAACCATTATATTTAGCTTGAAAAGGCCCTCGGTAAGGTAACCTTTTCCTACGAACATCTCGTTCTTATTTATTACAAACTTATCGGATACAAATACACATTTAAAACTATTCTTAACAAGAAGTCCAGCAGAGACTAAATTCTTCCTAATCTCGGGAACATGAAGGACATTGTTCAAAGTCACCACTTTGCCGGAAGTCATTTTGAGAAATATCTTCTCACATCCTTCAATCTTGGCCTTTGCAGCCTTTCCCATAGAGAGAGTCTCATGGGGTCCAACAGGAGCATAAGTAGTAAAAGCTTCTCTAATAGCAAAAACATGGCGAGTGGCTCCAGAATCAATCCATCACTCTTTAGGATTACCCACCAAGTTGCATTCGGAAAGCATGGCATACAAGTCATCAACATCATCATGCTTTTCAACCATGTTTGCTTGACCCTTCTTCTTGTCTTTCTTCGGAGCACGACACTCCGTAGATTTGTGTTCGGCTTTTCCACAATTGTAGCAATTTCCACCGAACCACTTCTTGCTTGGGTTGTATTTCGGTCCAGAAGCCTTCTTCCTCTTTTTA